AGGCTGAGATAATTTTCAAAATCTCAGAAATCAAAAAAATATCATTTTTAGTGATGTAATTGATAAAAATAATGTGTTGAATTAAAATAAGTCACAACTATGAAATATTATAAATGAGAACATTCAGGTGAATTGAAATTATATAGAATAGGAATGACATTTTAACTTCGCTAACTTGATATTAGTCCTTCATTGTCTGAATTTAGGTCGCCAGCGCTAATTATATTCTGAGAAGAGGCGTGACGTTGGAGATTTTCTGGTACAGACCTTTAATTATAAACGAAAACTTTTTAGAATTACTCTTGGTGGTTAGGGCTGGATTAATATCTGAAGGGCCTCTGACAACACTTTGAAATATTGAACATAAGTCAAAATGTTTGTAAGAGTAATTTTTTATTTAAAAATGTAGTATTTAAATGTTTTTAATTACTTTTAACTAAAAAGGTTTAAAATAATACTTGGAGCTACAATTAGCACGTTCTGTCGTATTTATTTATAAATATCTCCTTGGAGTACACGTTTAAAAGAATAAAATTACTGCATCGAGATTTTCTCTTGTAGTATGAGTTTAAAAGAAGTGATTCATTACTACAGCACTCCACCTAATTAAAAGAAAATATTTTAGTCTCTAATTGTCAGAGAACTGCGATTTCCCTAGCAATTTTCCTATTTGACGTTTTGAATGATTGAATGATTCCATTATTAAATATTGAAATATTTAAGTATTATTATTCATTATCATGATATTAGCTAAAACTACAAATGTCTAAATACTTGTAATAATTGCTCGAGCAAAATACATTTTTCTTGTTTTAATAATATCTTTAATTTAAAAACACCGAAATAAAAAGATTTATATTGTCCCAAGTTGTCTTGTACTACACTATTTACACGTTCGCTATTATTGTTAAACTAGTTTAAATGCAATTCAAAGGTTTCGTTTCACAAGCTCTTCGGAGCATGAGCGTTGTATGTCTTTTTGACACTCAGAACAACTAACAATTCCTCTAAAAATACTGTGGAAATACAACGTACACTGCCATACAAAATAGGATGGTATTAATATCACATGACAATCGATAATACACCCTTTCAAAAGTATGCAAATAAAGAAAAAAGGTGTAATTCAGATACAAAAAGCATGTGTGCCAAAACAGGGAAGCGATATCAATTGGGTTTCTTTCAAAATCATTCTACGGCAAACACTACAGCATGTGGATACGTATCAGTTAAGAACTCAAAAATTGTCTGTTTTAAATTTAAATAGTATGGCGAGAGTAAAATTAGATTTCATTCACAATGGATTAATTTAGCATTCGGAGTGACATGGAAGACAACTGCTAATTTTCCTAGTGAATGAACACTTTTTATCCCCAGAGTGTCTATTATCCTTGTCCAAAACCTACAAATAGCAATACATTCACAGTGTTCAAATGAATATTATTTATTTATTTTTTATTTTTGTATTAGGTTGTTGGTAAGGAGGCATTGCCATAATTGGCAGTTCATAAATATCCTGTATTTTGTAATCAAATGCCAATTATGAACTTCTAAAATACTGCCAATGTATCATACTAGGCTGTTTAAGGACCTGCTGGTCTAGAAAAAACACGAACACATTACGCAATTCATGAAGTTGTATTTCTGCTAACTGGGAAATAAAATTTTTCTTGTCAATTTCTTTTATTTTTGATAAATAAGAACATTCAGATTGAAATGCTATAAATAAATATCTATGTAAGGGTAATTAATCAAACGGAAATAGGGAAAACCCCAGATTCGATCGTATACACTGGTATTTTGTCTACCGTGGACGGAAAATTCTTACTCATGTTTAAACTTCTAACATCAATTCATCATCCTTTACAAAATAGTAGCGTCTCGTGTAAATGTACGTGCAGGTACAAATATGAATTATACTGTTATTAAGGTTTCATGAGATCAATAATTCGGGTTTGTATTAACAAATCTGCCAATTGGCAATTCTTCTCCCAAACCTGAATTCCCACTACACAAATCTTTCGAGCTTGTGCGGTGGTACGGACGTGTCGATTGAACCTGCTCCAGCAATTTTGGATGTCGGCGTTTCGTGCACCGTGGTTTACGCGTCAAAAGGCCCTTCAAGGAATACATACACGCCGTGAAGGGGTGGTCAGTCTGTTACATTTACAATGAGTAGGGGGAGTAATAGCAAAATGTTAACATTATGAAAATGAGTATCAGATTTGAAAACATTGTGGTAGATGACACCCTAATTGTGTCTATAAACACATTTTGCCGCGAAAAAATACGTCAGTTGATCAATACTTTTATTTTACTCTCTCAACGTTTAATTATTTACTTATACTACTCACTAATTTATTTTTATACTAATTTATAATTCATTATACCAATCATATTAAAGTCTTTGTAACTCCGGCAATTGTTAATGAGGTTTATGGACCTCAATGAGAAGGGGTAGAATACTTTTGTGCCGAAATTGTACTAAGGGGAGAGGGAGTAAAAAGCGCGTGAACGTGTTTGTTAAATAATCCCTTGTGACGTGTCGCGTGGGAGCGCCTGCGTCTACAACTGGCCACAGACCCCTCCAGTCCTCCTCCTCAACTCGCGGTATATGACATCTGATGGCGCCTGTCCTTTTTATTAAGCAACGTGTCAGTGAAATTACAGAAGTATTAAGGGAGATTTTCCTTGTGAGAAGGTGTCATTGATGATAAAAGAATACGTACTTAGAATTGGTTGTATTTCATCATTAGTCTGTGTTATAATGTAAACAATCTCGCACAATTCACTCTTACAAGGAAAATAATTGTATTCAATGTTCGATTATTTGAGTATTTTTCTTGTAGTATATTGTGAATAAACATATAGGTCCACATATTCCTTAACAACCAACAATATTTCCACGAAAATTAATTTTAGATTTCATAATTCCAGTTTGGTATTTTATTTAATTCGGTATTTAGAAATATTTACTTTTCGACAGTTAATTTAATTTATAAGACAAATGTTGTACAGCTACGATGACAAACGCATGGCTGAAAATTCACGGTTCACAGTCGAGTTGTTTGTAAGTAATACTATATGAGCGATTTCTCTAACTAAAAAATAACGAGTTTTTATGATCGAAGACATCATTTTTATGTTTCCGGCATACAATATAAAATCTGTTTCACACTTACTACAAAAAATGTAAATATTTCTTTGAAAACTTTACTTAGCTCTAAACATTTGAGAATATACAATTGAAATTTTCTAAAAACTGTTGATAGTTCTAACTGAATAATGTCTGGGAATAATACAGTAACACGATCACTTGAAAATGTAGAGATGGAATCATTTAAGCATTTCAACAGTTTCTCCTTCTAAACCACGTCAGTAGTAAAAAATAATTAAAGAACATGGCAATTCGCGCAAATAAGACTGAGAATAACATCTAGAAATTGGATCAAAATAAATCTAAGAATTTTGTACAATTACTCCGAATGAAACACGATAGAATTAATCAACGATAATAAAGTTACTTGTTTTTCTTCTCACAAAGCGAACTCTGCGAATGAGACGGTAACGCATTGAATAAATGACCCTGGAAATCGCAGAGTTTAAAAAAATGTTTTTCATGTGACAGTCAGTCTAAATTTAATGGATTATTGCATTCTTCAATTATAGACAGTTAAAGGCTGGCTTAATATGTTTTATTACATTATGCACTTGAATTTACAAGAACTATTACAATAAGTATAATACTTTTTGTATATACAAAAGCATAATATAATAAAAACACATTATGCCCTTGTTTGGCGGTTTTCAATTAAAGAAAACAACATACCAATAATCAGATGTTTTTACTAAGATACCTCAAAACCAAACACGCCATCGTTAAGCATTATTAACAAAAAGGGCACAACCTCCGGAGAACGTTTCCTCTACGAGTGAAACTGATCTGCCTGCGTGCCGTCGGGCAAAGCGAGCGTGAGCGTGAGCGTGCGCGTGGTTTCGCGGGCGGCGTCCCGCCGTCGTCGCTCGTCGCGCGTCGTCGGCTCCGCAACGGACTCTCCGACGAGAGCGCAGCCGCGCGCTCTCCTTGGCGCAAACCGCCCTCGCATGAGGCGCGCGCTTTCCTCCTTCGGTACTTCACCGCTTGCAGTACTTCACTGCACTGACCTCGCCGTGCTCTCGCGCTTGTCGACAAAGGCCTGACACGCCCGCGTCCTTTGTTATTGACATGCTCCCTACTCGTGTCCGGCACGAGGGGCGCGCTATGTGATTCGGTGTTCCTCAGGGTCCTTTATTCATTTGAGCCTTTGACTAACGGTGCTTCATCACACTACTCTACGAGAGTACGTTCTGCCTTGTCGGCATAGGTATGTTACGTGCTCACTCGCTCTCTTCGGTTACCTACGATCAAAAACATTGTAAACAACTCCGACAAGAACATAACCCTGACTTGTCAACACAGGCTTTGCTTGTGTCGTTAAAAGATCCGGTGTCTCACAGGGTCCTCCGTTCCGACTCAGTTTAATACACAGCGCCCTAGGCATATAATAACGGCAACGTTCGTGCTCTTTCTTATAGGCATGTGCACCAGGCATGTGACGCGCGCTAAACGACCCAAAATGCATCGGATATTTCCACTACGCCAGCCCCAAAACATCAAGATCGCGAACGTGCGCTGTCTTCAGACGTAGACAGTTCTTTGCAAAAGTCACGAGGCGCGCGTTGCGCGTTTCAAATCACCATGGTATACCTTTGCCTCCAGAGCGAAACTACGCACGATCAAAAACACAGCGACAACAATTTAGCGAACACAACGTCACGGTTAACTACGCGTAGCCACGGTGCTGCTGAAAGGAACGGTCTAGGCACTGCACGGTACGCTGGAGACTGCATAGACATAGCAACGGTCCGGCTGAAAGGAACGGCGCCGACCACTGTTACGCAACGCGACGGAGTGCTCCACATGGTCCCTCGCGCGAGCTCCACTGCGCACGGCGACGTACCTGAGCGGCTGGAGGGAGCGGCGCCGTTAAGCGATCACAGTCAGCGTCGACGGCGTCGGCGT